TCATTTTTATCAGTTTGTTAGTTCAATAGTTATGATTTATTGAAAAAAGGTTGATCCTAAATTTCAAACAGCTGGAAAATCAACAATTTTTTAAATTATCGAATATCCTTCGAGATATGTTTATATATCGGTAAAGACTACAACATATCCAATTGTGAACAAAATCCTTCCTTCCCCAAAATAGTGCTCCAAAAAGTGTCCGATTTCACGTGAAATAACCCGCGCATAACTTCACCGTGCTCCAATATTGCATTTGTTATTCATAAACTATTTAATGAAAAATAATTAACTATTAATAATAAACTATGTTAAAACCGTTGTGTAATTTAAAAATTCGATTTTTTGAATATGCAGGATGTTGGCGCTATCTGTGTACAGTTAGGTACATTAGTTCTTAATGTATTAAAAATACAAGAGAAATATTACTTAATCATTTTTAATATTGCAGTGTCAATTATAAGCAATATAACTAGAGTTTAGGGGAGGATTTAAAAGTAATTGGATTGTTGATGGGCCTCCAAAGCGGATATACAAAATATTGTTTTTTATGCAAATGAGACAGTCGCGCCAAAGCAGACCATTGTAATATTAAAACGCGGAAAGCAAGAAAAGCCAACAATCCAGGAGAGAAAAACATAAAGCATAATAGTTTAGTCGACAAAAACAATATATGCCTGCCACCACTGCATTTTAAACTAGGATTCATGAAGACTTATGTGAAAAGGATGGACCACAATGAAGCCGCATTCAAATACTTGCAACTAAAATTCCCAAGCTTATCTGAGGCAAAAATAAAAGAAGGAACTTTTATAGGACCACAAATCTGCGCACTAATGGAAGATGCAGAAGTTAATAGAATAATGTCAGTTAAAGAAAGTGAAGTGTGGACTGCATTCAAAAACCTTGTGAAAACTTTCTTGGTACATATCAATCACCAAAGTATAAGAACGTTGTGGAAAAACTAATTAAAACGTGGGAACAATTGGGTTACAATACATTTCTAAAAATGCATTTTTTCCACTACCTTCTTGACTTTTTCTGCGAAAATCTTGGCGGCGATATGAATTCCGAACACGGGGAACGATTTCACCAAACGTGATGGAAAAATATTACTATGGAAAAAAAGTACCGCAATGTTTGCAGACTATTGTTGGCATCGACAAATGGATAGTAAGAAGTTACATAAACATCCAGCAGGAAGAAAACACTTTCAGGTATGTATGTACATTCATCTCAGTGTTCCGTGTATTATTAGAAAATAGTTTATAAATAGCAAATTAATACTGGAGCATGGTGAAGTCACGCGCGTTAATGGATTCTGTTACGCTGAATTGTAATGGATATTTTGCCAAACTGTTTCGTTTCAGTATTGAAAACAAAACGTGACTTACCACTTTTGTTGATGGGTTCCGAAGGAAAAATGTCTGCTCTATCGCGTGGTGAAGTCGGATTTTCTCCTAGACCCTTAAATTTTAAAATAAATTTAAAAATATCTGCAAAAATTGGTGCCTTTCGGATACCCTTTTCCCTTTGATTGTTGTTTAAACATGTTTAAATGTCCATCATGCAATAACAACATATAGTATACCCTTTTATTCGGGACAGTTTATATGTACAATAATTTTTACGCAACAGTCAACTGAATAATTATTATTGTTTGCACACAAGAAATGTGCATGGTCGAAAATTTAAATTTATTTTTCAAAATCAAATTTATGGAAAACTGAGGCTGCTGGCACAAAACCGTTTGCAGATTCGTATGCAGGGTAAATAAATCTATAAGAGATGACTATTGAGTGTTAAACTCGAAAAAAAGTAAAAATTTGTTGGACGGTGTTAATAGTATGTTTGTAATTCAGTAATCAGTCATAATTGTATGAAGTAGATTTAAGAAGGTTAAACTGGGGTTTCTAAATTCGTAGATGTTCCTGCGCGTAAAAATGAACTACAAAGTTCTGACAAATATCGAACTTTACGTAATTTATTTTTGAAATCTAGACTATTTTCTGTTCAAGCATCACATATTAATAAATATTCAATGTGGCGCCCATTTCATGTTCTCCTCCGCGATTTCTCATAATATTGGATACATTTTGTATTTAAGTTACCGCATATCCCGACTACAATAATATAGGAATAAAATCGAGCGGTTACGCACACAGTATTTATTAGCAATTAAATTACAACAAATTAATTGTATAACGTAAATGTCAATCTTTCATAATATAGTCTTTCTATGATGAATTGGTACAAATTCGTGCAGTCATTTTTCTAAAATAACAATTATTATACAATGCTATAAAGCAACGTTGTATATACCGCCACTATACCGCCACTTATAACCCCTTTGTCTAAAAATGGCGTTCATCAACCTAACTTAGACGTAATTTCGTGACTCTGTTCAAAGGGTCCTTAATATACGGGGTAACGACACTACCAACCGCTTCAACTAAACTAAACAATCGGTGGCACGTATGCCACCACGATTCGGCCCGTCCTACTTCGACAATATGTGCACGCTGCCTTAAGAACATACATTCCACAATCAACGTACCATATACAGGGTGTAACAAAATTGTTGGAGGACCCGGAAATGGGAGACTCGTGAGGTGATTTGAAATAAGTTTTCCCTTAGCAAAAATGTTATCCGAGGCTTTGTTAACGAGATATTAACGAAAAACCCCGACCAATTAGAGCGCGAGTCTGTCGGCCGAGTTCCCGCGGTAACGTTGGTTACCAATCGCAGCGCGTAGCCAACATTACCGCGGGAACTCGGCCGGCAGCATTGTACTCTAACTGGTCGAGGTTTTTTGTTAATATCTCGTTAACAAAGCCTCGAAGAACTTTTTCGCGAAATAAAAAGTTGTTACACATCACCCCAGGAATCACCCGTGTTAAGAACATACACCTATTTTGAGACACCCTATACAAGGTGAATTACGTAACACTTTCACCTAAATTATCTCCGATGTTTTTAAAGATACGAGAAAATGTGTAAGGAAGAAAATGTTTGTTCCTGTAGGGCAGTTATTGTGATAGAGAAGATTTTTTTCTCAAACTCACATTTTCTGAAAATTTTAATGTTATCGAGAACGACGTATTTTGATTAGTGTAAAATTATAGCTAATGAAATACAAATTCTACCATGTATAATATGTTAACCTTCAAATGACCTTTGGAGTAGTTATTCCTCAAAAAGCATATCTTAACGTACGAAGAATAGAGAGTCTACAGAGAATAAGAGTTATTATAAACTTGTGTGTTGTGACAATGTTTCAGTGTTTCCATTAATAACAGCCTACCAGAATACGGGATCATGCAGGAACATCTTCTTAGCGCTAGATCAAGGGGGTGCCTAGGGGAGCGGTAGTTCTGAGCGCCACGTTTAAGGGGGCCCCCGTTCTGAATCGTCCATTTCGTTATGATTAAATATTATTTCATTTTATTTAAAATAAATTCCTATTTTTTAAGATTCGTGTATTTTGTTGTGCTGTATTACAACCCCCCCCCCCCCCAAAATGTGTCCAGGTCGACATTGTCTTCATACGTTAAGATATGCATTTTGAAAAATAACTCCTCCGAAGGTCATTTGAAGGTTGACTTATTGTACATGGTCGAATATATTTCTTCATTAGCTATACCGTTACACGAAACAAAATACCTTATCCCATTTAAAAAAAACCACGATGACCCTGAAATGTCGGAAAACATGACCTTGAGAAAAGAATCTTCTCTATCACAATAACTGCCCTGCGAAATAAATACTTTCTTCCAGACACATTTTCTCGTATCATTAAAAACAACGGAGATATTTTAAGCGGAAGTATTACGTGACTCACCCTGTATATACAGGGCGTCTCAGCTAACTTGATCACCTCGAATAATGACTTAACGGTACACTTTATGAAAATTTTGAGGCATGGAACGTAAATGGCATCAAGGGACACATCTTATAAGGTACGTGCTTTTTGTGGGTGGAGAAGCATTTCAGAGATTTCAAGGTCACCTTGATTTCTTTTATTAGAATGACTTATTTTTTGTATCATAAATTGATAAAGTATCAAATTCTAAGTGAAAGTGGGTTGATCTTCATACGTCCTAAACCTAATAATACATAGTTAACGAGATATTTACATAATAATCACTGTATTGAAATCGCTGTATTGAAATTGAGGGGCATCAGTTTGAGCACCTATCAAGGTAGTGAGTACGTATTAAAAGTTGTTTTGTAAATATCTCATTAACTATTAGGTTCAGAACGTATGAAGGTCAACACATTTTTATTCAAAATTATATACTCTATCGATCTATGATACAAAAAGTAGGTCATTCCGTTATAAAAAATCAAGGTGACCTTGAAATCACTAAAATGCCTCCATTCACAAAAAAGCACGTTCCTTATAAGATGTGCCCCTTGATACCATTTAAGTTCCACACCTCGAAATTTTCATAAAGTGTACCGTTAAGTCATTATTCGAGGTGATCGAGTTAACTGGGACACCCTGTATATACTATATATGTAATATGTAAGTTTATTGTCGTATTACAGACTTAATGCTGGCGATTTTATTTTGAATTGTAACAAGAAAGTGAAAGTATGGTAATCGCGCAATAAACTAACCCATACTTTAGAATGGAACTATGGATCTCCTAATAACAATTAAGACAAAGCGTATCTTTTTGAACAGATGGATAACTCGCTGTAACGTAGAAATATAATTAGGCCGAATAACATTAATATTATTTACGGAAACTGAAATGTCTAATATAAAAGAAAATTGATCCAACTAACTTTATTACGGTACTTATGAAATTGTAATACCAATATAAATATTATAGCTACCAAGAGCAGCCAATCTCAATATCTCATGATAGAATCTTTTCCAAAAACAACAAACTCGTTCCGTATCATCCCAAACAACTTTCCGGTACACCGAACGTAAGCACACGTCTACCGCTCGATAAATCCTGATGAACCGAAAAATTGCCGAATGTCGTAGAGTCCGCTAGGAGCGTGATGGACGTGCAGGGTGCGACGGAGGAACGTGCCTCGTACTACGTCGGTGAGCTCGTCAGACGGAAAAGCGAGGGCAGCGACACGATTCCCTCGAAGACGTCGACGATGCAGTCGAGAGGCGGCCCGTTGCGTCACCGCAGGGTCTCGTTCGACAGCAACCAGGAAGCGAACAGCCTGACAACGGGTAACGCCGCGGAGAAGATGGTCCGTTGTCGCAACAACAAGTGCAGCAACTCGGCGATCATGGTCGAGGCACGGAAGACCTACAAAAGCTGTCACAACTGCACATGTCTGTACTGTTCAAGGGAATGCAGAAAGGCTCACTGGCAGCGTCACCGAAGGACCTGTCTGCACTCACGGGCCGGCAGCCTCTGCAAGCAAGTGTTGTCCTCGGCGAAAGAGGATCCGATCACGTTGAAGCACATCTCCGCATTGGCCAAGCGTGGCCACGCGTTACACGGTCGCGGGGCCGTCAAGTGCTTCTTTTCTAGTCCCGAGGCAGCGGAGAAATTTATCGCAAACGGTTTCGTGGATCTCGGTGAGCCCACTTACATCCGATGGTCGGACCTCCTTGCCAGCGAGATGGGCGCGGATCTTTACGCCGAGGTGATCAGACTCTGCAAGTCGTACAACCCGGACACCAGACTGGTGCTCTACGTGGCCGTGTGCGTGGTCAGCGAGGTGCCGACCAATGGGGCCGTCAGGTGGGAACGGCAGCTGGTGTCTAGGTGTGCGAAAATTCATCTGGATTCAGCCAGCAGGCATCATACCTCCTCATCGTCGGCCTCGCCCCAAGGCAGACAACAATCCACGTCGCCCTGCAACATCACCAGGGAAATGGAGTCACCCGAAATGCTTGTGCTGACGTCTCTGCCGGGCAGCAATGGTCAAAACACACCGAAGAGGATCAGGGAGATCAGTTTCACGAACATACAGAGGCAACTGAAGCTCAGGGGCGTCTCCCTCAGAAGGCACTTCCCGCAGGTTTACAGGAAGCTCCGCGCGTATGTGGATGGCACCGTGGACAAGTTCGCACCGGTTACCATCTACCCGCGAGACCAGGCATCCGGGAAAAGCTTCATGTGTATCATCATGCTCGACGTGGAACCCGAGCGTCTTCAACTACTTCCGACAGACTCGTCCAGGGTCCGAACGGTCGATATCAGCGTCGAGCAAGAATGAACGATGAATGGGTGCACACTATCCGCCTGAACAGATTTTTTACTAAATCAGTAGAAAAATAGTCGTTGCCGACTAACGGTGAGAACGATGTGTTATGGAGGAGGTCCTTGGGGTCGTGGATCTGCTACAAAGTGTCTCGGGTAAAGCGTAGGTTGAAGTGGAGTCTAAACTTGATGACTTCAAGAAGTTTCTACTGATATTGTTATTGTTCTGTTTTCAAGTTCAAATTGGAAGATCAACTTTATAATTAAAATCGTCAATGGTCAGAATGTGCAGGTTGTCGTGAGCACCTGATGGCTCACTGGACACGGACTTGGTAGTCAGACGTGTCCCTTTACGCGTAACCTGACGCGTAGCGATTGACTTCACTTATGCAATCCGAGCTTCTTCTATTTTTCATTTCACAACTACTTTTATGAGATTTATAAGATTATCTGGAACGACGATAGTAATGGATAAATCAAGAATCAGTTCAGTTATTGATGGAATAGAGAGTAGGAGACGCAGGATTTTCGTTAATGGAGCTAATCGCTAAGCTTAGATTATGCATTACGAATTTCGATTTTATAAAAATTTCGTGTACTATTATTTATCTTTCGCTTCTCACGATGTCGTCTTGTAGGGCATCGTGGAATCCGTTTGTTTTTTGTCTGACAAGACACTGACATCAGAGTATAAAGTTTCATTAGAAAACAGAATAATATTATTGCGTGGATACGGCGTGATCTCCAATAATAATAAGAAAGCAGGATTAATAAACAGAGATTTGAGGCTTTCACGGCCCGGCATCATACAGTTCTCACTGTTGAGGCTTTCGGGTGTAAGCCGTGTCCTTGTGGAATTGTTTTCCCAACGTTTCGCAAGCATACTGTATACAGTATCAGTGTGTGTTCGACCCCCTGATGAAGCTAGCTGCAATGCTTGCGAAATGTTGGGAAAACAATTCCACAAGAACACAGCTTACACCCGAAAGCCTCAACAGTAAGAACTGTAGGATTAATAAAATGAATAATTACTTATTCTTAAGGAGGAATACTTACTTATCTTTGACACGTCGTTCTCTTTCAAAGGACGAACTGCGACTCTACATTGTCTATGTTAGGCGCTAACCTAAACTCTTTCGCTTTAACATTACACAATACGTGCTACCTATCAGGTAACACGTAACAATATGTAAATGTATCTCTTTTATCCTGAAAGATTCTATCCTTTTTGTACAATATGGACTTCTTCATTTTACTTTCTTTGTCAATATTATCAATACTAATTTGAAACTGGTTAAACCGGCGCTTACCATGAGACACCTTGTATAGTCTGTGAGCAAAACAACCGAGGAAAGATGTTGGGATGTATACAATATTCAGAGAAAGAAAGACGATACACTAAATCAGGCCTGTCCAACATGTGGCCCGCGAGTCATTTCGCCAGACGACGCGGTCCCCACCATCACTCAGTCCATTCCCCACTATTCGCTTACGCTGCGATGCGATCGTTGGGCAAGAGGTACGTGCGGGTAGGAATTTCTGGAGCGTCAGAAGTGGGAACAGTCAGAGCATGTACACACGCTTTCTTGCCTCTATATCGTCGGGCTTCTTGTGGATATGGAGGGGGCTCATTCCCCTCGGCTGAAAGAGCAAGCCGGTAGGGGCGATTATCGATTTTGACCCGCGGGCCACAAGTTGGACAGGCCTGCACTAAATTAAAAACCCGTTCTATGATCAATAGTTCAGAAGATTCAATTTGGAACACGCCTTGACTCACTTCGAGATATACATAAATCTGATTATCTAATTCTGAATCGTTCATTTTTATCGTCTGGACAGCAAAAAGCATAATTTGGATATGATACTCCTTCGATTGTCACAGAAGTGTGTCTGTTGGTTTTTATGGGCACTTAATGAATGTATTTTCCAACGTGTGTCAGTTTCGTTCTTGGACCCCGTCCGCGGACCTTAGGGTACTCCTCTAATTGCTTACATAGATCAAAAGGAAATTCCTCGATTTGGTTATTGCTCTATCAGATGTTTATTGATTACGTCGATCGTTGAAATTTAATAAGACAGCGGTTTCTGAATTTTAATGCTCAAAACTGTTTAAAACTGTTTTTCAAATTTTCGGAGATCCTCAATTCTTTTTATTCCTCGTTTTTTTAAAACTTTAATGCATTTACTATGTTTTATTTATTTATCATATGTCTTTCGAAGATATGCTATTAATGTCTATGTCAATGAAATGTATATACTGGTACATTTTTCTTTTCGAGACACGATATTCGTTTACAAACATTGAAAATTAATGTGAGTTAAAAAACATGACTGATGGACAGGATCTTCTGTGATGCATGATTGAATTGATGATTTTAATTGTGAGATAAATATGTGGAAAAATGTGTCGAAGTAAAAATGAAAATTAATGTTCCTTCAATAACTTAAATTTTCGGTGAGTTTTATTCTAATTAAATAGATAGACAACATAATTTTACAGACAAATGTGCTCTTACGGCATAAGATTTAAAATACAGTGCGCTCCACGAGAGACTTACTTTTAGGACCGCCAGAGTAGCATACTGTTGAAATAACGCCAAACGCTAAGAGCGGTCGTCTAGAAAGAGACAGACAGTGCTACTGAGCGAGAGTGCATTAGCGGCTCTAACAAAGTGGTCAGACCCGTGTATAAAAATTACTGCTTTTGTAATTTTTGTTTTTTCTTAAGGAACATTTATTTAATGGATTTGTGAGATTTGCCTGGTGAAAGTGAGTCCAAACACGGCATAAATTAGACTATTTTCAATTATAGGGTACGGTGGGGGAAATACGGACGCGGAGATTACTTCGACACTAGAGTTGGCGTGAACATCTATAGTAGATTCTAACTATATTGCCATGCTAAGTTCTATCGTCATAGCCCCGGCCTTAGCGCTTGCGCAAAAGCTAGATCGTGCTGGTGCGCCGGCATACGCAACATGGTGGGAGAGCGATATTGTGTGTCCGATAGTACGTGAGAAGGGGAAATGCCCCGCGTGGCAATATGTTTAGTGGCAATATAGTTAGAGTCCACTGTACTTGTAAATAACGAGTGATTCGATCACATTCGTTTCTAATCGCAGTAATTTTTTACAGTGATTCATGATTTTTCATGATCGTCTCTAATTGGTGGAGAATATAACATCAGTTCTTTGCACGCTTAACATAACCTGTATATTTTATATTAATTACATAAAAACAAAAATGCTAGTTGATTCGTATAATGTAAAAGAATAATGAGGAACAATGAAGAATAATGAATAAATTAATGATTATAAATTCTAATCAACAATATATATTGTATAATTATATAGCAACTCATTCGTTTATAATTTCATTTTTTCTAGTGATTTTTGAAAACATAAATATTAATGTAAGTCACAAACACACGAATTATTTATTATTTACGAGCTTAAGAAATGCGCTCTCAATATTAGCGAAATATTTACGAAGGCATTCATGTTGCCTCAAGTTCATGATTGCGAAATGATAATATTGTTTTTAAATAATACATCGCGCTTTTTCGAACATTTTTATGATTTATAATCAGAAATAACTAACGATAATTATTTTCTAACCTGAAGTTCGCTATTATTTAAAAAAAATATAATATTAACAAAAATTCATGATAGTGTCGAATCACCAGGACATGTCCAACCACTGGGTCATTTACCTTACGGTAAAAATAATCGGGAAACATGGTGAACAGGGGATAGTGAATATCACTATATCCGGGATTATACCGCGTCCGTAATTCTCCACCGTCGTCTGGATAGATCACCATATACATGGGCGTAGCCAGGGGATGACAGAGGGAGGGCACTTGGCCTGGACGGAAAAAAGTGGCTTTTGCTCCATTCTACACGAAAAAAATTGGATTCCCCCCCCCCCCTTCCCACAGTTATAAAATTTTTGCGTAATATTTAATATTGCAGTATAATTTGAAACATGACCAATAGCCAAATTTATGACCTTAAAAACAAAACAAAGTGTGTCTGGCTACGTACAGCCCTTTTCACTGTGGCAGTCGATGTGTTTATATTTTTGCCCCCCCCCCCCACTTATAACCTGGCTACGCCCATAACCGTATATGTATACACATTTGTAAACCAAGTATAAAAATAGTACGATTGAGATCGTGTTTAGAGTCTCTCTTATGAGGAAGATCTTGTCAGTCTGTAGGAATAATCGCAATAACGTAAAGTAAAAATTGTAGAAATTTTATTTTTCACATACTTGTTTGACAACTTTGTTGTTCGAGTGGAAGGGTGAAAATCGGTAGCTCCCTCGCGACTCAAAACAATAGCTCTCTCGCGGATTTTACTGTATTTAAATTAATGTATTAATTAATTTTTCAAAAAGAAACATAACAGAATGAAAAGACTACTTCACAAACATTTAAAATATTGGTTATAAATCGAGATTGAAATTTTAATTCTTGCAGGCATTCATTTTTTTACTAAAACCGATACAATTGCAGAAAAGAATAATTTCTCCGATAATGTTAATTACGGAGGATTCTAGAATGAAGAAATGAAACAATTTTCATTCATCTGATTGGTGATCGACGAAAGATCACACAATTTTCCTGTAAAAAAACAGTTTCTCCACGTTATGATTCAGTCCGCTATATTTAAAACGCTGAAATTCCTTAAATTAAAAATGTAAAACTGCATAGATACGTGGATTCTACTTATAATCCTTCCAAGAAGGTGACCGATGATCAGAAAAAACGAATCAAACACAGAACCCGACAGATCGTTTTCGAATGTAACGAAGTATCTATCTTGTTATCTTTTCGTTCGATTCAACATAATTACGGTTGTATTTTTTTTCATTTTATCGTATATATATATAAAGATTATAGATTAAAAATCTCCGAAACGCCCTCAGATCGGCTCGATTGCAAATGTTCTAGAATCTATTGTAGCAGGTCTCGAGTCTGTCTGAAGGCGGCAACGAAATGGCGCAGGCGTG